GTATCAGGTTACCTATGGAGACATGACCTGGGCATACATCCTTTTGGCGGGAGAGTCAAGGGTTAAGGAAAGGGTAATGGGGAGGCTGGAAGATGGCGGGACCCACGGTCATTTCTATTGTTCCTCCTGCACTCCCAGAGCCACTGACCCAACAATGCACACTAACTGGAATTTAAATTAAAACTTTTAAAAAAGGGGGAAAATAATAAAAATAAAATAAACAGTATGTACAGAAGCATAGTGTATCTACAGAATGGCCTTTGGAAGAAACAGCCTTACCTACATTCTCAAGAAAACAGGAAAGGCTGCAAATAAATGAGTTATATTTTCACCTTGAGAAGCCATAAAGAAATAAAAACAAGCCCAAGAACAGAATACATGAACAAGAAAGCATGAATTAGTAAGATCAAAAGCAAACAATGGCAACAAAAATGTAGATTTAGTAAAGAGAGCAAAGACATGTGAACAACATTTAACATGTCAAAGGACAGGACATAACTTTAAAGAGAATAACTGAATGAAATATCCCAAATTCAAAAATCAGTACAAAACAGGCAATTTCCTCTATAAATAATAGTAACCAAAATTAGATGGGGCACCTGGCTGGCTTAATGGGAGGAGCATGCAACTCTTGATCTCGGAGTTGTGAGTTAGAGTCCCATAGTGAGTGTAGAGATTACTGAATAAATAAATAAATAAATAAATGTGACCAAAATTAGAGAAATGAAAAAAAAATAGAAGATACAGATTAATTTTCATAAAACACATTGAGAAGATGTTCAAAGATCTGTACCTGAAAACTGCACCAGGCCCAGGAGATTTCATGGCAAATTCTATAGATATTTGCAATTTACACATGCAGTGTCAGAGCACAGTAAAAACAGATTTTAGAGGAGGGCCTGGGTGGCTTTCATCAGTTGAGCCTCAAACACTTGCTTTTGGCTCAGGTCATGGTCTCGAGGTCATGATTCAGGGCCTGTGCATTGGGCTCTGCTCTCAGCTCTAAGTCTACTTGTACCTTTCCTTTACCCTCTGCTCCTCCACCTGCTCCCACACACACACTCTCCCTCTCTCCCAAATAAATAAATAAATAAATAAAATCTTTTTAAAAAGTAGACTTTAGGGACACCGAGGGTGGTGCAGTCTGTTAAGCATTGAACTCTAGGTTTCAGCTCAGGTTGTGATCTCAGGGTTGCAAGACTGAGTCCCATGACTGGCTCTGTGCCCAACACGGAGTCTGTTTAAGACGCTCTCTCCCTCTCCTTCTGCCCCTTCCCCCGTGCTCTCTCTCTAAAATAAACGAATCTTTTTATACAATAGATTTTAAGATCCTTTAATAATTTGCATATCAAGGCAAGAGAATAATACATCAAAAGAATAATACATCATATCATAACCAACTAAAGTTTGTCCCTTAGAATGTCAGAATGGATCAACATTAGGAAATCCATTAATATACTTTACTACATTCACAGATTAATACTGAAAATGTACATGATCATCTCTATAACTGCCAAACGTCATGGGCTAAAATGTCACCCCACATATTAACAATAAGAACTACAACAAATCTTAATTTCATAATTCAAATTAAAGGGGTCCTAAGCAAGGCATAAAATCCAGAAGCCATTAAATAGGAGATTCATACATTTTACTACATGAAAATACACACAGAACTAAAAACGTGGTGTACACCACACCTATGTAAGATGTTAACAATGGGGGGAACCATGGGGAGTGATGAATGAGGGGAAAGGAGGGAGATGGAAACGGTACTTCCCATTCAGTTTTCCTATAAACCTAAAATTGCTCTAAGAAATATAGTCTGTTAATTTAAAATACATATATGACAACAAAGAGGGACTAACCAACATTTGATACAAAGCCTTAACATCTTAATATATCAAGAAATCATGCAAATAATGGAAGAATGAGACAAATGAACCAATGGAAAAATTCGTGAAAGATACATATAAACATTTCACAGCAAGAGAAACACAAATGGCTTTTCAATAACAACACACACAATGAAAGAGATGCAAATTGAAATACGATACCATTTTTTTAGCTAACAGATTGGTAAATATAAAAAAATTTGTTAATGCCCCAGTGTGGGGAAATAGCTTTCATATCTCGTATCTTGTTGGCAAAGCTAAGTTGGAGCACAGCCCCTTTTAGGAAATTTGATCTTAAATTTTTTTTTATCTTTTTATTTATTATTTATTTATTTATTTTGGTTTGACAGACAGCGATCACAAGGAGACAGAAAGGCAGGCAGAGAGAGAGAGGGAGAAGCAGGCTCCCTGCTGAGCAGAGAGCCCGATGCGGGGCTTGATCCCAGGACCCTGAGATCATGACTTGAGCTGAAGGCAGAGGCTTAACCCACTGAGCCACCCAGGCACCCCTTAAATTTTTTTTAATTTAATATAAACTAAAATTGGAAATCCACATATTCTTTGGTTGAACTAGTTTATTTCCATGAGTTTTACCATATAGAAATGCTTGTAGATGGAGGCAAATGTTTATCTATACAGATGTTTAGAGGAGGAAAAGACAGAAACCTGCATAAAAATGGCCATCAGAAGATTCCAGGACCATGGCACATCCGTGTAATGAACCACTAGACAACTGTGTTTTCAAAAAAAGATTTTTAAGTACTGATAAGGAACAACTTTGAACCTTCAAAGATACATTTGTAAGTGTAGTTGGTAGTGGAGCAGTGGAAAGGCAACAGTGGAATGGTGTCTACCATTGGTGTTTGTTAAAGGGTGTGTGTGTGTGTGTGAGAGAGAGAGAGAGAGAGAGAATGAATCTATACAGATTACCTGGGAAAAGATGTACATTAAAAAGTGTCAGTCAGTAGGGCTGGCGCTGGGAGAAAAAATGGGGACTGGAGTCAGAGATACCAGAAAAACCATTTTCACTCCTTAATTTTTTTTTCCCATGTACATACATTACATGGACTTTACAAAGTAACTTAGAGAAAAACAAGAAACAAAGAATAAGAGATCACTCTTAACTGGATAAAGATTACCTATCTAAAACCTACGGCAATAGTCAAACTTGAGAACAACACATTCGAAACAGCCTTGTTACTTTCAGAAATAAGGATATGCGCCATCTGTGCCAGTATTCAAAATGTATCTGATGCAATAAAATGAGGGTGATGTATAAACATGAAAAATGAGACAAACAATCCTTTTTGCAAATGATATAATCATCTGCATAGAAAATCCAAAAAAAAAATCCACTGAAAAATTACTAGAACTTTATTTTTATTTTTTTGGAAATTTATTATTACAAGTTTAGCCAGGTGTCAAAAACTAGATTCCCACACAGAAGTCAATAGCTTTTGTACACATCAGTCAAAATCAACCTAACAGTGTAACTTAAAAAAAAAATCATAATAGCCACAGAAGTTCAAAATATGCAGGAATGAACATAGAAAAGAAACATGCCAGAACCATGTGAAGAAAACTCTAAAACTTTATAAAAGAACATAAAACAAGATTTGAATAAATGGTGAGATTCACTGTCGCATAAGGATATCAATTCTCCTATAAACTATTTTCTAAATTTGGGGAGATTTCTATCAAATTACCAGTGGATTTACTTGACAAGCTTATTCTAAAATTCATCTTTAGGAAAAATATCTGAATACAGATATAAAATGTTGGTATTGAGTGCTGGTGACACTGGTAAGTTTATAGGAGTGTGATACAAAGGACCATTGAGTGGGAAAAGACGCTCCTCCAATAATCAGAGAAATGCAAAATAAGAAAATAAGTAACATGTTTTTGTCCTTATATATCCTTAAATATCTAAAAGTTAATTTGAGGGACACTTAGGTGGCTCAGTAGGTTAAGTCTCCGACTCTTGACTTCAGCTCAGGTCATGATCTCAGGGTTGTGAGATCAAGCCCTGCATTGGGCCCTGTGCTGGGCATGGAGCCTGCTTAAGATTCTCTCTCTCCCTCCACCCATCTCCAGCCCCTCATTCTCTCCCTTTCTCTAAATAAATAAATAAATAAATGATGATTTGAGGAGGGACAAACTGAAATGCACAGATACCATTGGTAGGAGGCTAATCACTTTACTCTAAGGTAATTTGGGAGTATTTATTAAAACTTCAACTGTGCATCTCATCAATCTGGCACTGACAGGGTAACTTCTCAGATTCTACTCCTGAGGAACATACAAACATGCATTCAAAGAGATTGATCAAAATGTTCTTGTGGCACCAGGTCAGACAGCAAAAAGTGGAAGCAATTCAAACGCTCCCTAGGAAGATAATGTCTAAACACATGGTGCATCCGTTTCAGGGAATGCAGTGCAGCCGTTTGAAAACCAAACCAGTCTATTCATACTGACACGGTAAGAACTCCTAGGATACATTGTTAGATATCAAAGGAAGTTTTAGCACACCATGGGCTGTGGAACAGTTTATGTTCAAAATTTATATGGAGTGATACATATGTATATGATTCTAAGTGCACAGAATAAAAACAAAAGGTTAACTTACTTCTGGGGACAAGACAAAGATTGCAGATGTGATGAAATCAAGGGGAACTCCTGGTACCTCTGTGTTGTTAGGACTTTCAGCAGGAAAATGTGATCCTATATCAATTACAGAATTTTTTAAACTCCCCCCGGAAGGTAACGTGGCAATTTTAAAGTTCATTTTAATATATTTTTCGCTTAAAGTACTTTTCATTGCAAGTGTATGTATCTTCACATATCTTTATTTTTATAAGAACTTGAATGTTTTCAACTTTACTAAAAAACCAGAAATATGTTAAAGTGGGGAGTGGTAACATAATGTGTAGCTTTTCTGGTTTCTCAATATAAAGACTTTCATCTCTGTGTTATCACAGCAAGAATATTTCACCTCTGCATTAAGACATGTACAATCTCTAATCTCTAATTTAAACAAATCCTATGTCAACTAGTAGGGCTGAACCAGAAAACAAATGTTCAGTGTGATACCATAACCATAAAACTCATCCATAACCTTCTGGAAGGATTAGGGCTCCAGTGAAGAACCAACATTTTTGTCAATAGCAAACTTTACTTTTGGAGTCTTTTTCAAAAACTCTGTATAGCTTTTCCGAGGAATAAATTTAAAAGACTTCCATATCTCATTATAATGTCTTGGGAAGCGTCTGAAAATTGGGAGCACCACAACTTCTCGATAGACATATGATATCTGGTTATTTGAAAAGCCGTCAAGACAAGATGGAATATGGTCACACGCCCAGAGATTGAAATTTCTTGAAGCATGTTGCCTTTTCTCTGGGGAGATCTTCCTCCGTCCCAGGCCCTGGGAAAGAATTATAAAAAGATTAGGAGAAAAATATTCAAGGTCACAAGTTCTGGGGTCTTCAGTGAAACCAGTTACATGGCATCTTAGCCTTAACGCACAGTATGGCAACCACTACAAGAGGTATATCCTTTACCTACTTGCTAAGTGTTGTACATCAACAGTACGCTGGAGGCATTTTGTTAACGATTCTTGCCGTCTTCTACTTCCACCAAAGGGACTGGTCTTCCGGAGACACGGAAGGGGGAGCCAGAGAGACCACAGCTGGAAACAGCCTATTAGCCAGCCTGGGCTCCTGGGCACCCTGGGCAGGTTCTCTGCACCCAGGTGGCTCCTCCATGAATCTGCCCCTGGTAGCATCCCAGCATTCAATGGGGTAGATGGTTCTCCCTCTAAGAAGTCCACAGAAGCTGGATTCTTTCCCGAGAAGGAAGCAACACCTTTGGGGATCTGCCCACAGCCTTCCTCATTAACACTCAGGACCTCCCACATGAACCTGAGAACAGCTCTGTACTCAGAATTGGGCTTTAGATCTGATCATGATTAGGAGACAACACTGTGCTCAGACAAAAGACAAGGAGAAAAGACACTTTAGATTACCCAGACTTTACATTACAGAGCACCCTAGACTCACAATGGAGCAATATCCGATAATTCCACGGTAAACAGAAAAAAATTGCAAGTTAGGAACTGTCTGTAGCAAAGTGAGTTTGTCTTTTCATAAGGACCGGTATCATTCCAAGTGGCAGCAGGTGGCAGGCCCAATTAGGGTAATTTGAAGAGAGTTTAGTAATGGGACTATCTGTGGGGTCCCCCACTGGGACAGTAAAGAGGCTCCAGGTCCAAGGGGCTTGAGAGGAAATGTAGTCCCCACAGATCAGCCCCTGGTGCCAGGGGAGAGAGAAAGGGGGAGACTGGCTCTGGAGGCACAGACAGAAGGTGTTGCCCAAGCACCTTTCTAAAAATGTACCTGCAGATACTCCAGAAAAAAATTAAAACCAGATAAAAGAGACAAAATGAATAGAAAAAGAGCTACAAAGAAAGGAACAAGTAAAGCTTGTAATTAAGTCTAACTACTTACTGATAATGTGACTATGAAATATATTGAAACTTCAAGTAAGAATCCACAGAAAGAAAGGAAAGAAGGGGAGAAAGAGAGAGATAGAAACAAATCTGGAATTGAAATCCCAGGATTTCAGCTTGACTGCTTTTAACCCCAAGAGGTGCCACTTAACATGAGCCCATGAAAATGACACCTTCATGACTGGGAAAGCACATGCTGGCTTTCAGCACAAGAACATCTAGAGAGGAAAGTGAAGGAGGTCAGTACACTGAAGAACTTGCCTTATTCTGGAGGGAAAACCTATAGATATTAAAATTCATATTCATAGAGTAATAGTGTCAATGAATTTCTTAAATATTTACATTTAAGGGTAACCACTAGTAAACAAGAGAAGTCAGGGTGAGCAAATAAATTCAATCTAACAAAGTCAGGAGAGGGAAGAGAAAAAAACAAGAAACAACATGCGAATGTGGTAAATAGGAAACATAAAATGAAATAGCAGAAATAAAACCCAAAACACAAATTATATCAATGTGAATGGGTGAAATTTTCATACAAAGAAACCATGACTCTTGGATTTTTTTTAAAACCATGCTCTATTTTATTTATGATTAAAAAAAAGAAAAGCAACACCAAATGACTAAAAAGTATAAGGACAAAAGAATAAACCATAATGAAAGTAATGACTATTATCAAAAAGAAAACAATAGTGGCAAAGCTAATATTGCAATCTAGAATTCATGGGTAAAAACAATAAGGTATGTAAAGAGAGATACTTCATTTTGATAAATAATAAAAGCCACCAAGAAAATAAAATCCTCATGAATTTTTATGCAGAAAGATATGGCATTAAACTATATAAGGCAAGGGGCGCCTGGGTGGATCAGTGGGTTAAGCCTCTGCCTTCGGCTCAGGTCATGATCCCAGGGTCCTGGGATCGAGCCCCACATCAAGCTCTCTGCTTAGCAGAGAGCCTGCTTCTCCCTCTCTCTCTCTGCCTGCATCTCTGCCTACTTGTGATGTCTGTCTGTCAAATAAATAAATAAAATCTTTAAAAAAAAACTATATAAGGCAAAAAGAATTCAGAAATTCAAGAATAATCTTAGAAGGGAAAATTGACAGATAAAAACAAAAACGAAGAAAAGGTTGGGTGGCTCAGTGGGTTAAGCCTCTGCCTTTGGCTTAGGTCATGATCCTAGGGTCCTGGGATCGAGCCCCACATCAGACTCTCTGCTCAGCAGGCAACCTGCTTCCTCCTCTCTCTCTGCCTGCCTCTCTGCCTACTTGTGATCTCGGTCTGTCAAATAAATAAATAAATAATCTTAAAAAAAAAAAAAAAGAAAAAAAAAGGCTATGAAGGATTTGAGTAACAAAATTAAGACTTTAATTAATAAAATGAAGAACTTTGTAATCAACAGATGGGAAATATATGTTCTTTTTAAACACCCATGAAACACTTATTAAAATTAATCAGGTATAAGATAACAAAGATAGTCTTTATAATTCAGAATCCATATGCTATAAAAATTTAACCCATTGAATTAGATATTAGCAACAAAAGATGATCTCAAAAAATTCTAACCATGCAGAAAATTCAAAACATTCTTCTAAATTGTTTTTAGAATTAAAAATTAAATCATAGACTATTTGAAAGCAATTAACAACAAAACTTTAATTAGTAAAACCGTTGGGATGTAGCCAAAGCAATAACCTGAGGAATATTCATAGTTTTAATAAGCTTATTAACAAAAACACTTGCAAGTATATGAACTAAACATGCAACCAAAAAAGATTAAAAAGAACAGCAAAATAAGAGTATTTTAGGAGTTGTTACACCAATAAATTTGAAAAGAAATAGATGAATTTTAGGTAAACACGTATCAGCAAAATCTACATGAGAAGAAATCAGTAGAATAGATTAATAATCAACAGAGAAATGGAAAGGGTAAAACAGTAAAAAAACAAACAAACAAAAAAACTTACTCAAAAAAAGTATTAAATCCAAATAATTTCATGGGCAAATTCTATCTAACTTCCTTAAACTGAAAGTTCACATTTTATCTAAACTATTCCTAAATGTAGAGAACGTTGGAAAGCTTCCAGTGTTTTCTGTGAAACTAACATAGCTCTGACAAAATATTTGTGGTACAGTCCTGTTTATCACATTAACAAGATACACACTTTTATATATATGTTTGCATGTAGATTGCAAAAGTTCTCCAATTTTACCCACCAAACCGTTATTGGTGAGCCGTCAAGATGGCATTATGAGGAGGAAAAGTAAGAGTGCAAGTTTTTTTTTCAATTGTATTTAATTCTGTACTGTTTGAAAGTTGTAAAGGACATACGTTACTTTGACGGTTTAGAAAACCATTTTAAGCCCTCATATATTCATATATTAAGCCCTCCATGTAGAGAGGCCGGCAGCATGGATATGCTGGATCTGTATTCAACACTCTGCCAAGGGCAAATCAGAATTTTTAGGTTAAACCACTTCAGCTGAGCTTAGATAAGGCAGCCTAGAAGAAAGAGTGACTTTGGGCAAGTTTTTGGGTTCCTTGTTATCAGGTTCCCCATCTCCAAATTGGGGTCAATAAGAGTAATTAGCCAGCAGTGTTGTCATGACCATTAAATGAGATAGTATGAGATGCTTACATATGGTACATTTTTAATAAATGGTTGTTTTATGTACATCATCCTCATCATGGACGTTCAGATTTGGTAAGAATTCTCGGAAATCACTGGGTCCACCCCTCTACTTCAGATATATTAACCCTGCCCTGTCCAGTTTGATAAGTGCCGGCTACATGTACACTTCAGATGTGGATTTTCCAAATGGAGGGTGACCAATCTGGATTTTAAAGGCTTCATTTAGGGAATGTAAACTAACTCAGAAATAATGTTTATATAGATTACATGTTGAACCAATAATTTGGGGAGTTATGGAGTTAAAGAAAATATATTATGAAAATTATATTTTCATACTAGAAAATTTACAATTTACGTATGCAGCTCACTAGATTTCCACAGCACGGTGCTGTGTTCACCACCACTAACAAGTGCTCTCAGACTCTTCTCTCTCCACTGAGGGCAACTCGCCACTTCTGGGGAAGGACAGCACCAGTGATCGGGAAGTCCTCTGTATTATGTAAGCTCCCCTTCCTCTGAAGGGCATGGGGCTGCCTTGTGGGGCATGGGGCGGCCTACCAGAGACACACAGGCAACCCCTCCTTCAGGACAGATCTTCACAAGAAACTCATGAACGAGACAATTTATGAGAAGACACGTTTTGAAGTAGGAAGTGCGTGCAAACATAGGCAGAAGGACTATGCTTTCTGGTGCAGAAAGTTGCATGGAACTTTGAGAGGTTCATGCATTTTTTTTTAACCTGTTATGAGGCATTAATTTTGACCTGGTTCCAGATTTTGAGGAAAGTCCTCGACCTTCACCGTGCCTCCCAGGGGCACTCCCAGTTGGACTAGTAACTTGGAGAGTAATACTCACCGAGTCCAGGTAGCACCCCGAGCTCTGCAGGCTGTGCCGATTGTCGTGTACAGAGAAGGGGAAGTTATTTACTGCTTGCTGGAAAAGATCGAGGGAGGGGATGAAAAGACTCACATCAGGACCCCAACATGCTTTCGAACCAACACACAGCAGCATGGAAAGAAGACAGGGGAAGCAAAGGGACGTTATGTAAGAGAGAAACCAATCACTGGAAAGAAGCAAATGGCCCAGGGCAGTGAGTTCGTGGGTGTGCGCACCAACTCAAGGCTTTAAAACTCGACTTTATTGGTGACCTTGTGGAAAATCTTAAGAATCCTCTTTCGTTTTTTTATATTCATATTTTTTATTTTATTTTATTTTTTATTAATTATTTTTATTAATGTATAATGTATTAAAGAATCCTCTTTCAAAATACCTTCTTTGGAGGCAAAGAAGGAAAAGCGTATTGGTTCGTGGAATTGAAAGCTGGTAAGGACCTTTGAGGCCATCAAGACCAAACTTCTTCATCTGACCAATAAGGATTCTGATAGACCAGAGCGCCAGCCCAAATAGGCAGTGAGAGTTAGCTAAGGGTGAGGTTCGCACCGGCTTCCCCTTTAGCCCACTCTATGCCCCTGAAGTTGCTCACAAACTGGCCGGGGAGGCAGAATGGGCTCGTTCATGATCTGTGAGCTGTAACCAAAGGTGATGTTCCTTGTCCACAGATGAGCCTAACCTGATTGTCTGGACCAGGAGCGAGTTCCTTCTAAAGATTATTTGGGGTGTCACAGGGACCAGGTTTCAAGGTGGGATGCTACCTGCATTTAGGGAGCAGGGGATGACAAAGGAGTAGTTCCTTCCGAAGAAACGCCAGAATTGCCAGTGGGGCTGCCCCGGTGGAGATCCACAGGGACGGGGGGCCCAGGCCTGCACTCTGGACTCACTCACCTTCTCCCGAACTTTGTAGATTGGTGGTAGCTTCCCCTCCACTTGCCGAGACAAATGTGGGTGGTGGGGCTCCTTTAACATAGCGCTTGTGCTGGATTCTGGTGTCTTCTGTGTTAGTCCAATCTGAGGGAACTGGAAAACCAGCGCATGCTGTGATTAAAACCAGACACACTGTGTCTCAAAGCGAAGTATTGGGGCTTCCTCCGTGATGTGATTAAAATGCCATTTGGGTGCTTCTGGTGTGCAATGGAAATGGCGTAATTTTTGTGATTTTCAAGTATTCTTTCCAAGACAAAAAACACTGTAATGGCCCCAGGTCATCCCTGCCAGCTGTTTCCAGTTACCGGGGCCACCCCCACTGCACCCAAGCCTGGAAATGCTTCCGCCCTGGTAAAGGGGCGTGTGGCCTGTGAGCGCCAGCATGGGCCCCTGAGGAGGCACTCCCTAAATGGGGGCTAAGGGTTCAGCCAGCCTCCTGCACGGGGGAGGTGGTGCTAAAACCCAGTTGAATCTCCACTGAGAAGGTAGAATGGGAGGGGGTGGGAAAAGTCCATGAGGGAAAAATAGGGGATAGGATGCAAAGCATAATAATAAAGATAATTTGGGGAGGTTGCTGGTTTCTCTCCATGAACACGGGGCAAGGAAACAGGTCTGGGCAGTGGGAGGAATTCCCCAGAAGGGCCTCTGCCCACCCAACAGAGAGCTCTGGGCATGGGATGACCTCTCAGAACTGTCCTGAGCAGGGGTGAGGGGCCTGGGCCTTCCTGCCCGCTCATGGATCAGTCACCAAGTGTGGGTTGCTCTAGAAAGAGGGGTGACCTCGAGGAGGCAGCTGCTTTCAGCCAAAGCAGCCCTAGTGTCAGAAAACGGAGGAGGTTCTGGTTGGGGAAGAAGTATAATTTGGTGGTTGGGTCACACACTATAGATCAAAGGTCCTGAGTCCAATCCTGGCTTTCTCTCCTGTAAGGTGAGCCTGATGCAAGACACTGAATTTTCTAAGCCCCCATCTCTTTATCTGTAAAATGGGAATAATAATACTTATTTGACAGGGTAGCTGAGATTAAAAGGGAAAAGGCATGCACCAGAGAGTACCCTATACCTGCTAGCAGATTCTAGCTTTGCTCACAGCTGTCACCTCCCTGTCCCCTCCCCAAACCCCCCATCCACACCTCAGGCCCCTGCTCCCTCCTTTCTGCTGGATTACAAGGAATTTAGCCAACACCGCCATTCTCCCTTGTTCCTTCTCACGTCACAGTCTAACTGTGTATGCAGGTGGCTTCCGTTCACTGCCTGCACGGAGTGTGTTCAGTATGTTACTATTTCTGGAAAAAGGTGGAGACGTTACACCCTACACGTGGTGCCCTTGCTGGGCTCTCCTCACAGCAATGAGAAGCAAGGGGCTAGGTGACACACAGCCACTGAGCCATTCCTTAAACACAGTCCTGAATGGAAAAAAGAAAACCAGAAGGAGACCTATAACCCAACACCATTTCTGTAAATAAAAAATCCATGCACACAAGACAATACCTGATTTACAGAACACATCCAGATGAAAAAACTCCCAGTACACATTTTTGAATGACTACAGGAATGAGGATCAGGGCAGTGAAAAACCACACACCAGTGCCAGGCCAGCACCCGCCCAGAGCCCCAACCAGCGCCCCAACCAGCATCCTAACCAGTGCCCAGGCTCTCCGGGGGACCTGCACAAGGAGGGAGGGAGGAGGAAACCAGGAAGGAGGAAGGCTTTCTTTTCACCATTGTGCTCTACTATTTAAATGTTTCTTAACTAAGTGCAGCATTACATTACTCTTTTCCACAACAAAAATAATTATATCTGTTTCTGATTACGGTTGTAATATATACTCATGGTTTAAAAAGATTCAAACATAGAAACATAAGGAAGCCTTTCTCATACATCCCTGTGGGCATGAACACCCGTGTCTGTGTATGTATGGATGTGTGTAGAGACAGATAATTTTGCATACACAGGGTCATATCATACATGTGGTTTCTAAAGATCATGTATGCCGATTTATTGAAGAGTAACTTTTGATTCCTTTCTCCCCCTCCTTTTGTCGCCCGGCATGACAGTATCCACGGCTGAGTGTTCATGTTCACAAACTCCGACCCCTGCTGACAGGCTTCGATTGGTTTAAAAAGTTGGACCATAAGATGCATACTGTTCTGTGGTTTTTTGCTTTCCCACTTAACAAGGTACCCTAGACATTTTCCCAAGCCAACCTATATATTTCTGACTCATTCAGTGCTATTTTGTAATGTTCTAAAACAATTATTTTTCCAAAGTAAATAAAAAATACAAAGAGCCTCCAGACCCATAACCTTTCCTTGCTCCCTTTCTCCGGTCTGGCTATGTCAACACTCCTGTCTGGGCGGCTATGGAAAATCAGGAGGGGGTGGGAGTCATTCTAGCGTCAGGAATGATCCCTTTCCCCAGTTAAATGACAGCCGACTTGAGTTCATTTGTATGCTGGACGTCTAAGGACTAAATCACTAGGGGGAAGAAAAAGTCTCTAGCATTTTAATTTCACTCTTTTAAAATATATATTTAATGGTGATAACATGATAACTGTGAAATAAACCCTTCTGGTAGATACTGTAACCATGAAATATAGCTTTTTAACTAGTTGGTGGTGAAATTTTTGCTGCGTTCACTCACACAATGACTGCAATATTAAACAGGAAGGGAAGTGTATGAAAAAAGCTTTTCCTGCCCGGCAACAGCCAGATTACAACCAGCAAGGTCAACTGCAAAATGACTGCACCTTTAATGTGGCAATTACTGTCCTCCCCAGTGGGCTGCTGCTGACTCAAAGCCAACGATTTCTTGAATTTTCCCAACTGGCCTGCAAGTTACTTTGGGAAACTTCATGATCAGCACTATTCTTTTTATGCTCTGAGGTGCTGGCAACAGAAGAGACCCACCCCAAACACTCAAATCAGGCTTTAGGTGGCAATGCCTTTCCCCCTGAGCCCTGGCTCTAGGCACAAGTCCTGGGATCACAATATCTCCCCAAACTCCCTGGCAATAAAATTGACCAGGTGACCCAATGAGATCAAAGAGAAATCTGTAGGGCAGGGCTCTGGGATAGCTTTGTTTCCCCCCCCCCATGAAAAGGGACAGAATTAACCAACAGGAGCCTTCCATCTTTTTGTCCATTGACTTCCCCCTCATTTAACCCCTGAGTCGAACAGTCCCACACCAAGGATGACATGAAAGAAGGCTGAAAAGGACCGGATAACCTCCAAGAGCATCTGTCCCAGCCCCGAACTGCCTCCTCCTGAATTTCTTGTTGCTTGAGAAATACAAACCCTTATTTGGTTCACTGTAGTCAGCTTTTTATGATTCCTGCTCAAACACAGTTGTCGCTGATATTGTAGGTGATAGAGAGGAAGCTACTTAGTCTGAGAAACTTGTACTTTTCTTTTCAAGACTGACTCCTGTTACGTAGTTCATCCTATTTCCCATTTTACTTTGGCTGCCAGGAATCTCAGAACCAAATCTGATGATATTTTATAAATTGCAGTCATGTAAGTCCTATGACTGGTGTACACTACACATCTTCCCAGTCTCAGCCTTTTATGCTTAAATGTATCCAAACTGATTCTGAATTTTTATTTTTTTATGATTTCCTGCTTTATTGTGAATATTTTCTATATGTTACTGTAAATCTTTGAGGAATGAAGCAGGGTATACAAGAAAAAATAGGTGTATATGTATAATATTAATATACAGAATAGTTAACAAGTATTGAGTGGTTACTCTTTTTGTGTGCATCATACTAAGCTCTCTGTTGAATGGTCTCATGGTCCGCACAATAGCCCTATAACCTTAGTACACTATGCTCCCATTTAACAGACAAACAAACTGATTTAAGAGTAAGCTGTTTAGTCAAGATCACATCCAGGTGGGTAAAGTTAGTTTTTGTCGTGTTTTTTTTTTTTCTTTAAGATTTTATTTCTTTTGAGAGAGAGGGAGAAAGAAAGAGTGCACAAACAGAGGGAGGGACTGAGGGAGAAGGAGAAAGACAATCTCCAGCAGACTCTGCACTGAGCGGGGAGCCTGACTCGGACCTCGATCTCATCACCCTGAGACCATGACCTGAGTAGAAACCAAGAGTCAGACACTTAACCAACTGAGCCACCTGAGAACCCCAGAAAGTTAGTTTTTTAAAGCCTTTACACTGAAATGTTCAGAGGTGTTTTCTATTTTTCCTTTCCTTTTTAAACAAAGACTGTTAACTTTTCCACGTATTACAGCTCTAATGCAATCAGTAGGTAAAAAGACAAAGATCCCAGGACCCCTGGAGTTTACATTCTCGGAGTGGGTATAATACAGTGGATTACATAGTATACTGCAAGATAGATGTTATTTTAAAAAGAAGAAGAAGAAGAAGAAGAAGAAGAAGAGGAAGAAGAAGGAGAAGAAGAAGGAGAAGAAGAAAAAGAACACACAGCATTGACGGCTTTGAGGACATTCACGAGAGCGCTGAGTGTTTTACACACAAGAGTTGTTTCATGCAATCCTCCCAAGGAGGCTACGAGGGTCTTATTTCACAGGTGAAGGGACTGAGGTTAGGGAAGTGATTCTTCAAGTGATGCCACATGAAGTAGCAGCAGCAGGGTCTAGACTCAGGTCTGTGACCTTGACCACACCCACGTGGCCTGAGAAAGGCCAGAGAAGCCACCATCTTTCTTACCCATCTTCCGTCCTTATCTAAAGCTGGGTTGAAGCGTCTCCCTTTGGCCATTTTCTGCAGGAAGCGAAGGTGCCTGAGGTCGTCTCCCCGACCTCTTCACTGCCTCAGAAATTCTGTCATCTGGAAGACACTCCCCCCTCCTTGCTCCTGACCTTCAGCCTCTACCAGGAGGGGAGGGTCCAGGGGACCCACTGTTGCCATAGAATCAGAGCTCTCATCACAATGGGGGAGGACGGTGGGGCTTCTAAGCCCTCGGAGGGTTCCTGCCAGGGTACTTACACCTGCTGTTCCCCAAGGTGGAAGGCAGAGAGTCACCGGGTCCCAGCTGCGGAACCCCTTTAACAGGTCAGACAAGTGGGGACAAGACAGCCTGGAGATGGCAGCAGACTTTTATCCCCTCTGAATCCTCGAACTCGTGACATTGAGTAACTATCTGTCCCAACTTCTTAGTTTCCAGAGAAGTGAACTGAATCCAGGCAGGAGATGACCTTCTCCTCGGCGGGATTGCGATACCCAGGCCCCAGGGCTCCCTCACTGTCCCAGCTCAGATCTCCATCCTGAGGGCCCCTGCTGCTTGTTCACCTTAGGACACACCACTGAGGCCACGAGGAAGCAACCGTCATGAGCAATCGTGAAACACTGGGTGCTGGACTGAACTGAATACTTTCATGTGTTTTTGTCCTATTTACGCCACACAAGCACCTTTGGCATTTACAAATGAGGAAACAAGGGCCATGCAGCCAACGGAGTTGGCACCGGGTCGCAGGACGGCTCCAGAGCTCACGAGCCTTCCCCAGGGCCAGCTCGCCTCCCCTGGGTGCACAGGCTGCCCCTGAGAGCTGGCCTTTCTCTCCGAGCCCAGATACCCAGACCTGCCTCTCTCCTACTCAGCAATGTGATTTCTGCTTCTCTTGCCCTCTTTCTCCTTTTTGAGATGCTCTATCTCCATGGCTTTCTTGGCTATTCCATGAATTAAGAAGAGTAAACATCTAGAGGAGAATCTGTCCGGCACCTTCTCATCCCCTAATCACCAAACTGGGCATTCGCACAAGACTTGCCATGTTGGTGACACGGGACCTCTCCCCCTGCCAGCGCTGGTGGCCTAGAGAGGTGCGCTCCTGGATGTGAGGCCTGGGGTGGCACCGTTCTCTGGTGGCCACAAGGCCAGAGTCCTGCAGTAAGGGTGGAGGAGAGAAAGACGGAGAGCAGCGTCGTCCCGTGCCAGGGAGCCGCTGTGCCAGCTTCAGACCGACAACCCTGCCATGCAGGGACGGGCAGGCCCCCTGGGTTTCCGCTACCTGCTGACCGTCCCTGAGGTGAGGCTCCCTCTGCTTCTCACCAGTCCGCTGGCTGTCCTCCTTGTGGCCCGGAGGTGGCATCTGGGCTCCAGGCGGCAGGGTGGATAAAGGGCTTGTCCCAGAGTGTGGGACTGGATGGGTCCCGGCCCTGGGTGCATGGTCCGCTCTCCTTGCTGGCTCAGCAGCTTCCTTCTAGGGAAGCGTCCCACCCGCGGCCGTGAAATGCTCCCCCCCCGGGAGCCGCAGCTCCGTCCCTCAGTCACACCTCAACTGAAGAGAGGCCGCCACCTAGGCTTAGTCCTGGTGGGGTCTTCTTCCGGCTGGTGCTCCATCACCAGGAAAGAGACAGAACAAGCTCCTAGGACAAGCAAGGCCTCTGCCACCCGGATGGGTGCGAAATGCTCTGATCGGTCATCTGGACGGCCCTGACTTCCAGCAAGGTCAGGCAGGAGGCGTGTGCCGACTACTCCTCCTCACAGCGGGGACAAAGGCAGTACACGCCATGAAAGCACTTCGTAAACTGGAAAATACTTTGCAAAAATAAGGAGGGACCCATGTGAAAGGCCCGTCAGTTTTGACTAAGGATTTTCCTATCCGCTAGTCATTGCTGCATGTGACTGTGGCATGGGTGCTGGTTGTTCCCTTCTGTACGCCTTCCACGTGCCGAGTCGTTTCCCACCCATCTGCCCCCTAATCTATGCCCTGGTCACTGGCCTGCAGAGACTGCATCACCTGTCCCCACCCTTTGGCTGTGGTTGGACTCACCCAGTAGGAAGAACCGGTGGGAACTGAGAGGTCAGGAGAGCAGGGCACGGGGTGCCAGTCATTGGTGAACAACCAGCTCTCTGGGGAACAGCCTGATTTGTAGGGGTGTTTGTCAATTTCCATGGTATAAATACTTCTACCGTGATTTTTAACCTAACACCAGGGACACCCCACAGGTCAAAGGATTGATCTCAGGTTCCCTCCCTTCCAGCCCACACTTAGGAAGGAGCTGTGTTGTTGGATGGACACCTACCACTCTGGTCAGTCTGGCGGCCTCTCTCCCACAGCCCCTGCTCTTGCTGTCAGCAGCGACCTCTCCCCACCCCTTTGGCCTTGGGGCGGGCAAGGCTCTTGGCTCTCATGGGTCCTTGTCATCCCCTGAACCCTGCCCACGTCTCTAGAAGGAGATCCTTCATGAGACTGTGTTCTGTCTTGGAGTGGGCCATCTGGTTCCTGCGGGGACACAGGTAGAAGCCCACACAGGCATGAGCCACGACCTCCACTTAGTCAAGTGGAGGGACTCCCTGCAGTCACATAGCTAATGTAAGGACCTATTTAGCCAAAGCGACTCCATCTTGGTTAAAAGCCATTTTGTTGTTTGTGCAGTAAAACTTAAACTGACCCTGTCCCCCTCCCCCCGGAGAAACTTACTTAGAAGCAAGTCTGGGAAACCAGTAAAATATGGTCAGCTAGTCCCTGTTAACAGAGCCCAGAATACAAGGACGAGTCGGGCCGGGTGGAGACATCCTATCAGTAAGAAACACACATACTTTTTCCCTAACCACCAAAGAATGTAAACCCCGCCGTTTGGGCGCCAACCTTGAACACCAATTCTGACCAGAGTAATAGGTTAGGTCAAACAGCTACTATAGAGTAAATTGTAGTTCAATTGGCCACCTGCGTGTGACCTAACATGACTACAATCTCATTGGCCACCTATGTGTGGCCAGACTTTTGCTCTATAAAAGGTAGTCTGTAAGATGGGGAGGGGTCGCTCTCTTCGGAGACGGCCCTGGCCAGTCAGTCTGACTTCTAATGCTTGCATAGAATAGAGCTTTAAATAACTTCCACTTTGTCTCAGTCTCATTTCGTTTAATAACGGACCTAACATTGGGGGCTCTCCCGGGATTAAACGACGAGAACTGAGCCAGCATCAGAATTTCTGGGAAAAGCCTCTGGAGGTAAGATCCTGTCTGTCTGTCTGTCTGGTTGCAGAGCTCCAGGGGTATGGCCCACTGGGGAGAAACTGGATGCGGTATTGCTCCCCAGGGCTGGAGTGGATGCGGGGATGCCCCATCCCTCCACTAGTAGATCACTAGGGGGTTAGAGTCCCCCTAGGTGGTCACAGGGGGTTTGAGTCCCCCACTGCTTCAGGGGGCTCGAGTCCCCCTAAGCAGTCACCAGGGGGTTCATGGTCCCTCAAGGCAGCCAGGGGGTTCGAGTCCCCCTAGGCGGTCAGGCGCCTTGTTTTTGTTGTCAGTTGTGCTGTTTGTTAAATGTATGGGAATTTTGTCTGTTGTGCTGGTTGTTAAGTTTATGGGGATTTTTGGAAGAGGCATCCCTTACCCCCGCCTGGAGGACAAGGTCCTCATCTGTGAGGAGAACCGGCTGCCTTTGCAATCGGATTCTCCCTTAACTTCCTTTCAGTTCTGTCTTCACGGCCACGCCGGATAGTTTGTCTTTAGGAGTATGTTCTTATTAATTGTTGTAAGTGTATTTGTCTTGTTGTGGACTGAGGACATGATGGGACAGACACAGAAGACCCCTCTGTCTCTGATGATTGACCACTTCTCAGGTGTTAGGGAAAGAACTCATAACCTCAGTCTGGACGTACGAAAGGGAAAGTTTCAGACTTTCCACATGTCTGAATGGCCATCCTTTAATGTTGGATGGCCCCGGGAGGGCCGCTGGGTCTGCAGTTGTCTTTGTCTTGTCTTTTTGTTGTCTGTTGTGTCATTTATTGTGTTTGAAGGAATGGGGCAAGCGGAGAGTAAGGGGACTCTGACTTTCATCTCTCTGTTCCTCATAATAGATGTGGGGCTTCTCCCCCACTCATTTCGTGTGTTAAGGGCTATAACTGGAGCCAACTGGGGTTGGTCTAACTCGAGACAGAGACCATAAGGAATATTCCCAAGCAGCTACTGAAACTCCCTTTGTTTCAGGGAAGCTCCCTGTCTTCTCTGGCCCGATATGGACTGCCTAACCCCTCCCCTCTTGCTGGCGGGAAAGCATGGCATCTGCTCCTCTGTTGGGGCTGATGAGCTCTAAAACCAGGAACCCTTTCTCTACCTTCTGGTGGTACTTTGTTCTGTTCTTCACTGTCGGGAAACAAGAAGAGGCGCCCCGAGACCTGACACTCCCCACTCCGGATCTTCCCACCCAGGTCTCAGGTAAACATTCGAAACGGAATGGGCCCAAGTGGAACGTAAATCTGTATTTGAACTAAGTTAAGTTTGCTGATTTAATTAAGATAAACATGTCTTTAAAGTTACAGTAGTAGATGTGAAGCTCTTATTCTGTCAAGGTTTACTGAAGGTCAGATAAGCTCATGTTATTTGTTAAAATCTGTTAGCAAAAGATGACTGAATTGATGGTTAATTGTCTGTCTCAAAGTTTTAATGGGTAATTGTTAAAGTAGCTTTCAAAGTCTTTGGTAACCTGAAAGTTTAAAGTTTTGGTTGGATGACAAATGGAATTAAATTATGAACATCTAGGTCTTAACCAAATGGGATAAAATACTAAAGCACAGAGTACTTGATATAGGTTTGTGCCTTTGACTTCTTACTGCAAAGAAACGAAGAATAAACATGTTTTATGCTTAACTGTTTCATAATTTGCCTTCTAAAGAATTCTGTTGTAACTGTTCATAATTGGTTTATATTTAGTCTTCACTAGAGATTAAGATGTTTCTAAGAGTACAAAATCCTGGGGCACCTGGGTGGCTCAGTCGGTTAAGCAGCTGCCTTCGGCTCGGGTCATGATCCCAGGGTCCTGGGATCGAGCCCTGCATCAGGCTCTCTGCTCAGTGGAGAGCCTGCTTCTCCCTCTCCCTCTGCCTGCAGCTCTGCCTACTTACTTGTGCTCTCTCTATCTCTCTGTCAAATAAAGATTTTTTTAAAACC